GGTTCCAGGGAGCGCCCGGTTTGATTTCGGGGATAGTTCGGATACAACGTACTGACGTCTTGGAATTGATTTGTGAAGAATTTGTTTTTTGTTTTGTTTTTTTTTCGGGCCAAGAGCTTGTCGTTCCTGTCATTCCTGTCATTCCTTCGGTCTTTACCCAGACAAACCAATTAATTTTTTAATTATGTATTTTTTTTCGAGCCAATCTGGGGCTTGTCATTTTTGTCATTCCTGTCGTTCCTTCGGTCTGTACCCAGACGAGCCCTTTCTCTCTCCAGAGAGGGTGGAGCCAGCATTCCACATGCAACACTTGCAGGGGCTATTTGCGTCCTTCTCAGAATTCTTCACTTCGAAGACGCGGACCTTTACACAACGACCTAAACAGGCGATGAAGCTCGAAAAGAAAAAAAGATAAGCCAGTGCAAAGTTGTAAAGTGTGACATGGCTTCAAAGAACACACAAGCAAAGGGAGCATTTGTTTTGTTGCCAATCACCCATTCCCACTGCTGGACGTGAACACCAGACGAGACGGACCCCACTCTGGAAGGAACCTGTTTCTACAAGAAGAAGCCGAATTTGAAGGTCAATTCTTGAAGACAAATTATCGCAAGAGGCAAGTTCGGCTGGTTTTGTTTCTGTGTTGTACAAAAAAAATGAATCTCTATCTTTTGCAGCATCATCTAACTTTTTTGGAGTGTACTGTTGAAAGTTTACGCAGCTTGCCAATTTCGAAAAGTTTGTCTTTGTTCTCAAGTTTTGCTTGATGCCACACATACGACTTGTCGGCTCTTCTTGGGATTTTTCGTCTTCTCTACACCCTCGTTTGCGGGTTTCTCCGGCTTCCCTATGTTTCACACTCAGTTTTACAGTTTCGTCCAACGGCGGTTCCCCCGCACTTGTTCCTCACGAGCTTCTCACCGTGTAAGAACGAAACTGCCCGAGTGGAGCGCCTTTCTATGTAAAACACACATACGCAGGGAACAAAAGCCCAAATATACGATCCCTACACTCCGTGTCTTCTCGTTTGTTTGTGCAGCACTGCAGAAAAGACTCTGTAGTTTCAGTTTTTGCAGGGGCAGCAGCAGATTCTTGCGGTGTTAGGATGTGTTTGGAATTGGAAAAAGTCTGTTGGTGTGACGCCCTTAAGAGTTTGAATTTCTTCATTAGCTCGACCTGCACTGCAGCAACAAAGCTCGTAAGACGTAGCTTCAACTTCGTGGTGAGCGCATGTACTCGTCCGGCAGATTTGTTTCGAGGTAGGGGACAAAAAACTCCAGATTCAGCATGAACCCTCTAGCCGTGTCGCATTCGCGCAAATTACGAGATTTGCCGCAGAAACATTTGCGGTGTAACATGAGATCAGGGTATTTTCCCCTACTAAGAAGCTTTGGAGTCATGCCTCCCTGTGACCTCCAAGCACATCTCCGGATCTTCAATCGGCCACAAGGCATCCTAACAGAGCGCTGTCAGAGAAATTCGCAAGATGCTGTACACTTTGATCGGAGCCACGCCCAACTGTGGGTTGTGTTCGTATCCGCGTGCGGATGCGCCATGACCACATCAGATGCGTGGAGCTTGTGGATTGAGCATCGGAATTATCGGAGTCATGAGAGGAAGGTCTTGCACTGAGGCCAAGGAGGGAAGGTTGTCAAGCTTTCCTTGGTTCTGCAATGGCTCGACGGAAGGGGAGGAGAAGTGTGGGAAGGACGTGAGGGTTATCGGTGAAAGATTCACACATACTGTCCTGTTTGTTGTCAATGTACCGTTATTCTGCCCGGTGTAGCCATACAATCCGTTTTTGTCCCCTGCTAAGAGAGACCTCGTCTTGCTGGGGCGCGTGCAGCACTTCCGACTGGAGCTGGCTGAGGGGAGTTCAGCGCCAGCTGTGTGGCTTCCCGTGTTCCTTCAAGCCTTTAAGATACTTTAAGCCAGTTCCCAGAAGCAGTGCGGACGAGAAAAAGGGTTTTTTTTCTTAGCCAAGCTCTGCCTTGCACACTGCGTGCATGTCGGCGCAGCGTTTGCAAGCCGAGCACCCAGCTGGCCGGCCGGGTCACAAGTGCTCGTGTAAGACGTCGTTCGCTCCCGCTCGCGCCATGATGCAGCGGGGTTTCCCAGCTTTTTCGCTTGGCTTCGCCCTCGTGACGGCTGCTTCGGTCCAAGCGAGCTATGCTGGTGGCGAGGAAGGTTTCCAGCCTGCGAGTCAGGTTTCTTTTTCAGTTGAAGTCAAGAGAGCATTGACGGAGTAGCTAGTCTTTGAAACCGTTCGACACTGTTTTCCACACCCGGTAAATCAAAGGAATTGCCTGCGCTGCCGGGACCGAAGAAGCCGCCCTCATACAGCGCCATTCTGTAGTCAACGAGAAGGACATGACGGTACCGCCGAAATCGGCGCTGCTTGTGATTGACATGCAGAATGATTTCATCAACGGAACACTGCCTGTAGCCGGTGGAGAGTCCATCATCCCGACCATCAACAAGCTGAGTGGTCTGAAAGAGTGGGAGTATGTGGGCTTCACAACGGATTACCATCCGGCCAACCATATCTCGTTCGCTTCCAACAGTCCCTTCAATTTGTCTCCTTTCGAATCCATCGATATGGCATACACCAGTCTCGAGGAGGTTTGCGGTGAGGAATATTTGTCAATCTATGAGGAATCTGCAGCCAATTGCTCCGCCCATGAAGTGCATGTCCAGTTTTCGCAAGAGCTCTGGCCAGACCATTGCATTCAAGGTACTTGGGGGCAACACATCCATGACGATGTCATCGTGCCGAGTAGCGCCTTCATCATTCGTAAGGGGCTGACGACTGTCGTCGACAGCTACGGTGCCTTCACGAACAACTATGGCATGTACTTGTCCAGCAACAAGCCGTCAGTCCTGAAACGAATCGAGGAAAATTCATTGAGAAGCACCCTCAAAAAGCTGGGCATTCAGCATGTTTATGTGGCCGGACTGGCTTTGGACTACTGCGTGAAATACACCACCTTGCAGGCCTTGCGTCGTGATTTTGAGACGTCCGTCATCATTGATGCGACAAAGCCTGTGTCAGAGAAAACGGGCGCGGAGGCTGTGCACGCTGTCACAGCTGCAGGTGCGGCCCTCGTTCAGTCGTGCAAAATTTTGGGCACTTGCTGAAGGCGCACTTCTGCACAAAGTGAAATGCTTCGGGACCGAACGTCCCTGGTATGTCAAGGGCCACACGTGCTCGAAAAGATCTTCTGTGTTCGGGAGCCGTATGCGTTGATTTGCACGCCCCGCACCCTGTAGGAAGAGCCCATCCCGAAGCCTTGTGCCAGTTGAAGATCTGGGTCTCATCAGGGTTTGTTGGGCACGATGAGTAACCGATCCGGATGCAGCTGCGCAGTTTTGAATGCTGCCTTGTTGTTCACTTTGCGGCTGCTTTGGCTCCCAAGTGAGGGGGACAGCGTCATGTGCGCTGATCCACACCCCTCTTTCCAGATAGTCTTGCTTGGGTCTCGAGCTTAGCCCACAGTGCGTACGTATCGTTCTAAAGTGGAGACCGTGTGTCTTGTCCTCAGCTCTTCAACTCAAGTTTGCAAGGTTACCACACCGGCCATTCGCTTGATCCGTGTGTTGGCAACCTTTTTTCCCACGTTCTTAAGCGTGGCTTGACATAATGTGCGCCAGCCGGATTACTGCTCAGCCGGCCGCGCAATGCAAGCCAAGATACAAGTCTTATGGCCAGGAAGCTTGTGGTCTCCTTTGTTCTCTTCCTGGCGCCAGCGCTGGCGTTCAAAGGTCCCGGTTTCTGTCATCTGTTGTTGCCGGCATTTTGCAAGCCAGTTTGTTGCAGAACATGCTTCAGACTTCAGGCCCTGCAGGCAAGTTCCGATTCCAACCCAAATAACCCCGATTGCCACAACCAATCCACGTAAATACAAAATGCCAATATCGAAGCAACTCTCTGGTGCCAGGCAGTCGGCGCCATGCAGGAGAAGCGTCGATGGCCGGAGACGCAGAGCCCGCTTTGTCGGGGGGTTTGGTGTTTGCTCCTCTACTTTGGTGAGCCGAAGCTTAGGAGCTACCAATAACAAGAAGTTCTGAAGCCTTCTTGCAGTTGTCGCTCTTCCCTCAGTGCTGGCCCTGTAGCCGCCGCGGCCGTGCATCTCGCAATTCCGAAAGGTCAGACCAGGTCACCCTCAGTGATGGTGCCAAAGGGCGCCATAAGGCACACGCCTTGCTCCTGGGCTCTCTTGCTCTCGCAGAATGTCCTGCCCCGGGAGATCGGTGGCCAATTCCATGAAGATCGGATGAAAGAGCTGCAAAAAGTGAAGCATGTCGCGCGCCTAGTTTCTCAGCGCTTCCCAGTTGTTGGGCCACCTACTTGCTCTGATACCGAGGCTCTCATAGAAATGGCCCACGAAGAGGGCACCGACAGAGCAGTCCCAGCGGGAAAGAGCATGAGTTTCCACATGTCTACAGCTGCTTGTATCAATCGTGTGAGCATGTCGCTGCTTTACAGCTGGTGCTGGTGGATGCCATGAGCGGCAAGTTATAGTTGGACAACAGCTCTTTTGCGTGTCGCCGATCAGGTTATTGAGATGATCAACACTACCATGAGATCTTCTCTCGCCGAACAGCATGACGCTGACAAGGCCATCACCAACATGATACGGACAGGGCCGTGACACTCTTGAACCCTTGGCTGCCAGTCCGTCATGGGACTCCACTTCAAGCAGTTCGATACTTGTTTGTCGGCCTTGTCGTCAGGCTCGCCTTTAAGCCCAGCGGGTCGCATGCCTAAGTACACGATGGGTGCTTGGAGGCCTCGCCTGGCCGAATGCGGTTCGGCTCTGAGAATTTGCTGCAGCATTTCCTTTATCGATAGGTGCTTCTGCTTGTCACCTAGATACTGGTTGGCGGCAGCTACGCTGGGCAAGCATACAGTGACCTTGCTGGGTTGTTCATGGAGTCAAACACACCGATGCCGATGCCGAACGCATTCTACTTCTGCATTGACTGATTCAGGTGGGCTTGATATTGACAAGAAAGCCCACAATGATTGCCGACAGACGCAGGCATCGCGCCTCGCTTCTCTTCATGCGACAAACGGAACTGTTTGTTCCTTCTGGCCCATGGAGCATTTCCTGGGCTCCCTGCTCTTCCTCCAAAGGAGTTGAAACTGAATCGGCCTTGCTCTGTGCTCAGAACGACAAGAAGTTGCTGTATGACACGTGCATCGACGATGAGAGGATGAGGCGCCATACATGACTGATGTAGATCAGGTCCGAGCTGTAAGGTCAATGGCACCCGTTTGTAGTTGTTCGACTTTGGCGAGCATTTGTCAGGTGGGAAGCTGTGAAGGCCGCCTGCGACGACAACTTCACAAAGTTTTACAGCACCGTGCTGGAAGCCGAGCCGGCGACAAAAGCCTCAGGCATGGTGCCAAGTTCTCTCGCAGCCGAGGTCTGCAAAGTCAACTGGTGCATGGCATGGCTCCTACAGCCTACGGCTGGTCTGGGGTGAGTCTTGTGGCCAGCATGCAGCGTATTTGTTTTCTTGAGGCAGAAGCAGTGTGATTCTCAGCTCGAGATCTTCTCCAACACAGCTGACGCCCAAGAGCCAAGAGCGACAAAGCTGAGCAGACTCGGGAGTTGTCCGGAGTTGGCAGGCTCCGGATGCGGATCCCTCCGGCTTGGTGGACCTTGGTGATGTGGCAGCGGGCTCTGCCTGGCAGCTCATGTTGAGGGGATGTGGGGTGATGCCTGGAACCCTAAGGACACCGAAGGCTACCTGCTGGCCTCGGCCTGAGTGAACAACACAGCGCTGCTGTTTGCACGAGCGCGTGTGAGAGTTCCGCTGAGGCTCAGTTCAATTTCTGGGACAAGAAACTCGAGGCGTATTTGACTGCGGAGGCCAGCGGACAGAAGGAGTCTTCTTCCGCGATGTCCAACTATCAAAACCCCCAGGCCCTTTGCAAGAAAGCCACGGCTACAGCGGAGGTCGCCAAAGAAGGCTTTTGGCTTCGGGGGTCTGGGGAGTGGTTTTGACTGCGAGGCTGAGAAGGCCGACTGCAGCTCGAAGCTCGAGGCTGGGCCGGCTGGGCAGCGGCGGCGGCTGCGGCTCGGCACAGCTTTGTGTCTGCTTGGGCACGAGAAAGGACTTCTTCAACATCTCCAAGCAGTGTGATACATTACAGGCCATACGTATTGTACTTGTGGCGGCAGCACATGGTGCGACTTGAAGCCACTGTGTGCACAACCACTCTTGTGAGGACAGCTTGGATGGTATGGCCTGTCTGCCTCCTACACATGCGCATGCATGTGTTTCGGAAAAGAAGCGGTCAGGATTGACTTCTGCACCTGCGAGGTCAGCAGGCGTTGGCTAGGCATACCAAGTGCTCTGACTATGACACGTGCCTCCGGCAGTTTTGTGCGGTGGAGTGCAAGCAGTTGGGCAGTGATTCTGTAGTTGTCAGGTGCTTTACCACCGCGGAATCGTCCTGGACAGCATTTTTTTTCAACTAGTTCCTGGCACTTTTGCATCTGTATGAAAGTCGGCAGCTGTTCGTATTGCTGCAATCAGGAAGACGATTAAGCAGACCATGTGTGGTGCCTCTGGTAAAGAAGGGGCCACGCCCCCACGCTCTCCAAGCACCGCGAGTGAATCCATGAGTTGAGATCTTTGTAGGTCCTCCAGGAGGAGCTGATCATGATCGAGCAGTCTAGGGCTTGGGCTTGTGCGCATTCGGTTTTCGCTTGCATAGAGTGCTGTCATGTGCTGCTGGTGCTACTTGGCCGAGAATGCTAGCCGAGGATCGAATGCATCCTTGATGCTGTCACAAAGCCCAACGGCACCACGCAGGTGGCAAAGCACGGAGCCCGTACTTGCGACGTGAGGTGAACCCATGGTGAAGTGCGACATGGCCTGAGGTGTCTCAACAATCCTCCAAAGCGTGCGCAGCCTTGGATGCGTCACTGTTGCCCCGTCCAAATGCGAGAGACGGTACCAGACCTAGGGAGCCACGCGCTGCTTTTCCCGCAGTGTTCCGAGGAGGGGCTCTGACGGCATGCTGTCCCTCGTTCTACCTCTATTACTCGCCAGGTGGTGCCGTCCAAGAACGATATCCAAAATTGCGGCAACCATCTGAAGCCGGGTGACGATGCAGACATGCCGGGCACCAAACCATACGCACGGGTCCAAGTACGGCACACAGGGCTCCGTTTGCATGCTCCGACCGTCTTCTCGGGACCGTGTTTGTCCACCCAGGTGGAGAAGTACTACACGGGCCCTGAGTCGAGCCCGACTGGTTATCCCCTTCCGGCAGTGAGCGAGTATGAGGACTCCAACCATGCTCCGCCGGTAGATGTGAAGGCACGTCGTGGGCCTTTGGGTCGTGGGGTCGGCGCTTGTTTTCCTTGCGCTTCTGCGGCTCGCCGAAGGCCTGTGTGGCAACATGCTGCACGAAGCCACCTGCGTGATGCTCAGCCAAGAAGAGACTTCGGTCATTGTGGGACGCTCTGGTTCGGATGCTTTCTCTGGGCAGGCAGCTGCTGACAACGCTCGTGGTTTGGACAAGCGCCCTCAGGCATTGGGCTCACTGGGGACACGGGCTGTCAGTCGTTTTGTGAACGCTTGGCACCCGCTCACTGTTCTTTCTGACTTGGCTCTGAGGACTGTGGATTTTGCGGTGGCTTGCCCTGCAAGTACTGTGATTCGGAGGCGTCTACTCGACTTGCATTCTTGTTTACATGGACACCTAGAAGAAGTGAGTCCTGACTGCTTGGCAGGGCTGCTGTTCAACGCAAGTGGACGGTGGACAATGCAAGAAAAAGAATCCGTACGCAGCGGTTACGTGCAAGGCAGGGAATGGAGCTGCATGCGACATGCGGATGGCATGCGATATGCTGGCTGTGTGTACCGTTTGCACCATGCCAGGACGAGCGCCAGGCCTGTGGCTGTGAAACTCTACTTTCGAAGCATCAATCGGGTTTTAGACTTCCGTCGACTCCTTTTGCCATAGCTTTTTGCTTTCGAAGCAGGACGCCAGCGAAGCAAATGCCACAAATGTCACCATGCAGGCGCAAGGAACTTGCGAAGTTCAGCAGTCACCTTTGCGAGGGTCCACGGTCCACGAGTCTGAGTCTTTCTGAATCTTCCCGCACGCTTGGCACAGGTTCGCGTGGCGGCCATCGAGGCTGCGCTCATGGCCAAGCAACGTGGTGAGATCGTCCGAGATCAGGCAGCCGGCGCCGGAAGGGCTGCCGCACTCATGGCGCGGTCGCTGGGTCTGAAGGTGGAGGAGCAAGCTGCTATGGCGGCTGCCGAAGCTGCCCTTGTGGCTGTCAAGGCAGCGCAGACTCCGCAACAGCAGATGGAAGCTGCTGCCAACGCAGCCTATGCAGCTGTGGAGGAGGCGGCCAGCAGCTTCTTTGGCCCTACGGCTGATGCCGAAAGCAGCGGTCACAGCAAAGCAACGGCAAAGATGGCCGAGGAAGCCGCGTTGACGGCTGCTGTGAAATCAGCCCTCGCGGCCGGCATGAGCAAGGGAGAGGCCGAGGCCGCGTCGGCCGAGGCGGTTACCCAGGATGCCGGAAACTATGCAGCCTCGAAGGCAGCAGCAGTTGCAAGAGCGCAAAAGAAGCCAGTGAAGGTGCAAGTACAAGTCGCCGTGGAGGCTGCCGTGAAGGCCACAAAGAGCACCGAGGGCAGCGTGGAGGAGCAGGCGGTATCGGCTGGCCTGGCAGCCTCCGATGCCTCTCGTGCCGCCGGCCAGCCAGTCCGAGACGAGGTCTGCAACCTAGAAGTGCCCTCTCATCCTTCTTCGGATAGTACGACTTCAAGCAGGAAGCAGTAGTAGCTGCTTTTTTTTTTTTTTTTTTTT